TCAGAATTCAAGGCCTTCTGTTTTGAAGCGAAAATTGCAAGACTGTATTTTGAAAAGGTTATTTGGTATAGTTAGAGTTCTGGACGTACTTTCTCTGGTTCTAGAATATCCCCTCAAGGCTTTTTTTCGGTATGGAGCCAGGGTCGTGTGGTGCTGCGGGTCCTCCTGCTGATTATGTATTTGGAAGTGGTGTGAAAGTAGGGTTTTTTTATATATGTTGGATGGGGCTGCAATAGAGGAGCTACATGTTTGTTTAGGCACTTCCTGCATTTGGTACTCAGGTATTTTATGATTCAGCTAATAGTTCAGCTTCTAAGCGCGCTGAAGTTGATGATGCAAACTACGTGCATGGAGAACATGAAAAGGTTGGTGGGCGACATTTGAAATCTTTATTAAATTACGTGTGGAATAGAATAAAAAATGAAATTGTGTAATTCATACGCTTTGTTTGTAAGTTTATTTGCAGGAGTGTTTAAATTTGTCGGTTTCTAAACAGTATGCTGTTAATTAAGTACTATGGTTAATTAACAAATCTTTTTTAGATCCTGGATCTTTTTCAGCGGAAGCGCCATAGTTATGGTTCTGTTGGTTTATCAGAAAGTTCAATCAGACATGTGAGTGTGGGTTTTTTTTATACATTCGCATTGAAGAATTTCACTACTCTGTTTCAACCAGGCTTTGTCGGTAACGAATGTGGAGTTATTGCACGAAGATTTGCAATATTTGGTTCGAAATGGACATCTCTGCAGAACAATCGACGATGAGCACTATGCTCTTATCATGTGATTGATCGATTTTGTCATCTCATTAGGATAGTTGCTTTTATTTTCATATGAGCGTGTAGTTTTTATATATCTTGTAGTAAAATTTAAAGATCTTTTATTGATGTTGTAAAAAAAGTTTGAGCATCTTATGTTGTTCATGTTTTTTATGCTATAAAAGTTGCATTGAAATGAAATCTGGAGTTGTTGCGATTGATCGCTCAAATGTTTACTGTTTTCATTATAAATGTTTATTTTGAAACGAAAGTGTTTGTTTGGATATGGCAACATTTGCTGTAAAGAGCGAGTCAAATTGGGAACATGGCGTAAACGAAGACCTTAAGTTGTCGACTGGCTTTTTTCAGGTTTTTTTTACTTGTCTCTGTGTTTTTGAATTGTTATTGATTTTCTAATTTCAGCGTTTCTTCGAGTGTGATGGCATCATGACAGAGGTTCCAGTCTTACAAGTTTTGGTAATATTTTGTAAATTGTTTATTTTGAGTTTGTACGAATGTTTTTTTAGCTTACCAAAAAAATAACTGAACGCTCAGTTGGTTACTCGGAGTCATGTTTTCGGATGAGGTTGTCGGACGGTGCCTTTTACTATTCTGGTAAGTATAAGTTTTAAAGAACATCTTTCTATGAGAGTATTTTGGGAAATTGTTGAGGTTTGCATCGTTTGTTCCCTTGTAAGGTTTCCATAGAAACCGCGTCATCTTTGTATTTCGCTCTTCCAACATCTTAGCTTTGGGCGGTTCTAGTGAAATTTTGGTGCTGCCGAAATTTCTTGTAAGGGTGTCGCAAATGTACAAGTTTTAAATGACTAAGATTAATGATTGCTGAGATAATTAGTTACTGTGTGTGTTACTGAAGAAATGTATCTACTTC